AGCCCCAGTCTTCACAATTTACTATATGTTTGGGGGTTTTTTTAACCAAAGGCAGGTGAGTTTTTATAAGGAGAGACAGTCACTGGAGAAGTCCCAAGACTCACAGCACGAGAGCTGTAGAACCAGGCAGAGAAAATCACGATTCTGACGCCTCATCTGCTGTTGTAAACCAAACCTCACAAACCCTTAAACGTGTAAAGATCAAGCCAAAAGTCCTCCTAGTCCTGTCTCCAGGCTCTGACAGCAGCCAAACACTGATGCTCAAGGCAGCAGAAAAAGCAAGTGCACCCCAGCTACCCAACTGTTTGGGGCTGTTTGGAGCAGTTTTCAAGTTAAGGAACATCTTCGAATTAAAAAGGCAAAACCAAAAAAGCCCCGAACAAACAAAGAGAGGGTATTTGGCACTACTGGACTGACCAGGGCTCCTGGGGTTACTCAACAGCGTTGATTACAAGCGCTTGAGGCCCTCTGTAATTCTTGTACAAAGAAATGAGGAGTGAGTTTTATTACCCATTAGGATTACGAAAAGGAAATGCAATTAACTAGCATATATTTATGTGCTTGAATTATAAATACTTAAAACGCATCACCAGGCAATCAGGCTGACTGCAACTACGCAAGGGTTTTTGGAACTATATAGAATACAGACACACAGAAGATAATTTTTAGCAGCCAAGGGAAAAAAAAAAATCAACTTCATGCTCTTCTAAACATTTTGATTTATACTATAGATTTCACCTATCACACAAAACCTTCTAGAATTTCAAATCTACCTTAAAAAAACCTGCGCGGGGTGCTAAAGCAAACAAAGAGATGTGCCTTACTTGAACTAGGACGAGCCATTTCCAAGCAGAACTTGGGTTTCTTCGAAGCAGCAGCCTTAAGCCCACGACCCGCTCGGGAAACCAACCTTCCAGCCGTAAACTGAAAGAGACTCATCAGCATCCCTCGGGAAAGCGTTCGTTACCTGAGAAGAAACAAACGAAAGGCAAACGGGGCTGTCTGGAAGGAAGGAATTCGCAGGAAGGAACCAGGTACAAACATTACTTGTCAGTTTGGTTTTGGTTTTTTTTTTTTTGTTTGTTTCTTCCCTGCACCTTTAATTCCCCACCCCCCCTGCAAAACACATCTCAAAGCTGCAGCCCCAACCCCAGCCTACGTGCAGCTGCCCGCCTGCAGAAGGGCGAAGGGGAACCGCGCCGGGCGGACG